AAAAAAAGAATATATTTTTATATTTGGTATGTCTAGAAATTTTCTTAATAAGAAGTTCAAAATGCTGGGCATGGTGGCTCATGCCTGTAATCCCAGCACTCGGGAGGCTAAGGCAGGAGGATTGTTGCGAGTTCGAAACCAGCTTGGGCTACAAAGTGAGCTCAAGACCAGTCTCAATTGCATAGTGAGACCCTGTCTCAAAAAAAAAAAAAGTTCAAAATGATAGTAAGCCTTAAAAATAAAGTAAAATGGCTTTAGAAAACATTGATGTGAAATATTTCCTATATATATACTGTGTATATGACAAGAACAATGCAATAGGTGAGGACTCAGGAGTGGCAGAGCCATGGTCTTTGCCTTCATGGAATGTACAGTCTGCTCTTCTTGTTATCTGTTAGTAACAGTAACAGTAAGAAGACAGATGCTTCAAAACCATGAAAGTGGCTCCAGTGCCGATCTCTTCTATATAAAATAACTCTTGAGCTTCATCTCAGAAGGGAAACACAGTTCCAATCTATCAACTGGCCCAAGATATTTGTTACAGACTTCTATTTGGGGTTCTTTAAGCTGATCTTGTTGGAGTCTCCTTCCCCTTAACTCCGTCAGTATTCCCAGTTGGCCAAAGAAAAAAATAGGCATAATTACATAGTTCAAATGACCCATTCAGCAAGGCAGAGATGAGACTCTCATGGCTAGCTCTGTGTTTATTCTGAAACTCCTAGGAAAAGCTAGGGAAGTGCGAACAGCAGCAGTGGCTACATTAAAGCTTGTTTCTAATAAGAGCTAACGTAACAAGAAGGTAATGCCCATCATTTAGATGCCAAATGACTTTGCTAACTTTGTGTTCCATGGAGAATGGAGCATTCAAGACCGAATTCACTTATGAGAAGCTAAGAGGAACTAATATTTAAAAGGTTTAAGGTCTTCTTAGCTGACCTAGTCAGCTGGGATGGAGGGAGAAGTGTTAAACACACTGCTATGCGTAACAGGAACTGTACAAGAAGTGGACTTGGGGACAGCATTGATGCTTTTCTCTAACTGCAGAAATACCCTCAAATGTGTTTAATTAACCAGACAACCTGATGCAAGTAAACTAGTATTTCTTATAAACAAGGTCTTAGGTATTATTGCATATTTAAACTTGGGCACGCCTTGGCAGGCTTTGAGCTAACTGTTCAGTTTTCTGAATATGTTGGGAGCCTTTTTTTACCCTTTGTCAAGGCTCTTGAGAATTTCTGGCAAGGCTCAAGTACAAATGGTGCAGAAAAAACTGAACTGTGCTTCTCACAATTTATCTATAGCTCTTACAACAACTAGTGGCAAGTAAATGGCCATTTCAAAGCTGATAAAAGGAAAAAGTAATCATCATAAATATTATATGTAGTGGAAGGTATAAGGCCAGATTAGGAGTTGGCAGCAAGTTTTCTGTAAGTGATATTCAGTATAAACATTAGTTGTCTCTTTTTATTTACATGTTTTTTTTATGGTGCTGGGAGTCCAACCCAGGGCCTGATGTTTCTTAGGCAAGTGCTCTACCACAGAGCTACACCCCTGGCCCTAGTTGTCTCTTGATATTACTTACTTTTAATATCAAGAACAGTCTTCCCCAAGACTCGGGAAAGGATATAACTCAACATCACATCCTATTTTGAAGGGTAAGACAAAATCTTTAAAGAAAAAAATTCTGCAATACCAAATGATAGACCTGAGAGTTCCTTGCAAAGCTTGAAGATTCTATGTAAGGGGATTAAGAATCTATAAGCCATAAGCATAAAGAAAAATCTAATCCTTCCTCCCTCATTTGAAATTTAGCTCATATTCCTCACGGGAAAGATTAGCAAAAGCTAATAATTCAATTTATCATATCAATCAGAGAAACGTAAATTAAAATGGAGTTTTTATGGAATACTCTATATTGAAAATAATATCACTTCTAATGTCTTCTCAGTCTCCAGAATTTAGGAATAAATGACTGGAACAAGAGTACTAAGATTGATTAGATTAAAAACTACAGATCTTACTGAAAAGAGTTTCTTATGTCCTTTCTAATTGTCCAAACAAAATAATTTTCTGGCTGTTAAAACTTGAGAGGCAATAGTAACTGAGATAATTATTCTAAGAAAGTTCGTTTATTGCCTAAATTTGGAATACTATTTCAAGTTTCAGGTGAATTGGATCCAGGAACCTTAGGACTGAGGTAGATCTGAGAAGTCATTTCTTGCCCCTGCTTATTCCTGAAAATAAGTACTCAACCTGTTTTTAAAGCTCATCATTCAAAAAATGTTAAAACTTCTCTTATTTACTTTATATACTTAGCTTACGTATAAGCCATTCACAACCCTACTTGGCACAGAAGTTTCTCTCATCAGCATTATCTATTATTAGGTAATAGTCTTCCTTAAGTTTACACGACACCTTTGTCTTCAATTTCTTTTCACTAACAATCTTACATCACGTCGCTGCACGTATGTAATGTTCATCTCCACAGAAGCTACATAATAAAGATCTAATGTCTACACAGGCAGCTCACCCAAGAGGGAAAGGTTTCAAAAGTAAATAAACACTAAATTTTAGCCAAAAGAATAAAGCAAAGTCAATAGCTAAGATTAAAATAGACTTTGGATATAACACTAATCATTAAAGAACATTGTCTTTAAAGGATTTAGTTTGAGGGTTTAATTTAAAAGGATTTAATTTAAAGGATTTAATTTAAAAAAGGTCTGCATATGAAGTTCTTCAATTAAAATCTATACATTATATTGTAGGTGTAGCCGTAAAAATCATGATTTTCTGGAGATGGTAGTGGATGTCTGTG